ATCAATTGAATTTACATTTTACCGACCAAAAAATAATAATAATAAAATAAATAAATGAATGAATAAAAAAAAATTAATAATAATAATAACGGGTTTACCTCAGGCAACCATTTATCATTCTCAGCATCAACCAACACGATGTTAAGCCAATCAGAATCCCTATTCTCAACTTCCATAACAAACTTAAGCAAAGAATTGCAGAGTCTACACTTGGGTGAATAAAATTCAATTACAGTAGCCTCCTTCCCACTTGCCAGTGCAGCAGCCAATGCTCTTTGCTCTGCCTCTCCCTGTTCTTCAGGGTTCAAAATCTTCTTCTTATTGTTGATTCCATCACTTAATTGAAATGGGTTTCGTTGGGATATTTTGTTGTTGATGAAATTGAGGGATATGATGCCAAGATTCTTGAACGAATTGAATAGCCATGGCGGTTCTGAACTGCAGGTGTTAGGGCTTTTGGGTTGATTACGGATATCCCATGGCCATTTTAAACAGAAGAGAGGCTGATTTGGCGCAGATCCCATATTTTTTATGCTTGAATTCTTCAGAAAAATGGTCGGTCTCGATACTCTCGACTCGAGAATGAGTAGTTAACAGTAAAATTAATAGTTTTAAGCTTATGTTCGGGGATAGGTGTTGACTTAGGTGGATATATCATATATGAGTTTGGTTGTGGAAGATGAAATAAATTTTTAAATGAGATTTGTGTTGTTTTTCAAAAGTAATTAACTTCATATAAGTTTTCCTTTGTTTTACGAGTTAATTAAATAATTGTATTAGCTAGTTCCATGTTTAAAATCATAGTTATTGAATTGTAATTAAAGTCAATGAGTCGTAGGTTGATAGTATATACATTGAATGAGTCAAAGATTGAACAAAAAAATAATAATAATAGACACAAAATCGCCTGTTGTTCGCACCATTAGCCCTCGAAGAAAAATTATAGCGACATCACCGTTGGCTTGCCACACCATGGGCGATTGAGCGGTGATAATATTTGCCAAATCCTAGATCGCGATTTTCAACAGATTTTGGAGTCCTAAACAATCTCAAACGCTCCATATTATACATACCCAAGCTAGACTTCTCCTCCCCCCCCCCCCCCCCCCCCCCCCCCCC